TCCAATCCTCTGACCATTGCTGAGTTTTCCATTGATGATGATAAAAAAGCACACTGGTCCTTTGATATTGGGCTGTGGCACCAGGGTGGGTGACATGACCTTTAGCCTGGTTTGTTCCTTTTTGCACACCACACATAGAATGATTAAAGTGGTAGGGACCCCCCCCCAATTCTGTGTTGGCTATCTCTAGCAAGCATGTCATTGCTAGCACCACTCTGGCAGCCACTAATGATCCTCTGCAAGTTAGCAAAAATTTAATGCAACTTGCTAGGCACGTTGGACACCTTACTACTCCCTATACCACACCATGGCTGGAGTGCAATGTGTTCCAGCAAAAATAGTGCACATCTTTATCAAATTTGGTGCATCCTGCTAGTTCGGTACACAGCCTGTGTAGATTCAATAATATTTTTAATTCAAATAATGTATGATTTCCTTTTTTTGGGGGGTAAAAGGTAAAAAAGTTCCCTGACCCCTGTACTACAGTGACTCCAACTCTTCTTCAGAGTCTGGAACACTGTTTCCTTTCGCTTTCCAATGAGGTGTTGGGGGGGTTTTGTTGTTGTTTCCTTCTTTATCTAAGCTGCATCTGCCTTCTCTCACTAAGTTGTTGCCTACTTGGCTATGCAAAGATGCAAACAACAGAAGGGGAGGAAGACAAGCTGCACTATAAGTAATGTAGACCTTTTTTTAAAAAAAATCAGTCTTTGAGATGTTCTTTTCCAGTGGAAATCCTTTCACACTGTCTCCCCCAAACATTAGACAAAAGGGTATTGTTTACAAAAATTTATTAATACAAACTTTATACACTTTGAAATTACAGTTCTCAAAATCCTAACGATAGAGACCATGGGCGTTGTTAACCATACTTTTTTAAAGAGTAGAAGCAGTAGTGCTTTTTTCCCCCTCTCTCTTTTTGATATATTCAAGTTGTTTGCTACACAAAATAAGGAATAGATAGATAGATAGATAGATAGATAGATAGATAGATAGATAGATAGATAGATAGATAGATAGATAGATAGATAGACAGATAGATAGATAGATAGATAAATAGATAGATAGATAGATAGATATCTCCAAAAGACTGACATCTAAGCTTAGTGATCACTAGATTTCCAACTGGATCCATTGGATTTAAGGCTCTTGGCGACAGCTATCTTATACAGGCGGCCACGGGCTGTGTGGAGAAAAGCTAAGGCTCGCAAACTGACTGAAACTGACTAGCCCACTGGACTGGCAAGGCAAAGCAGAGCGCTACTAACTAGCACGTCAAAACGGTAGCCGCCCCCACGGAGGGGGTCGTGGCTTGCCGCGATCGCACCACACACGGGACACAAACACACAGGAAGCGTTCCAGTCTCGTCAAAGGAACAACTCGCGAGGCTTTTAGAGGAATTCAACAGACTCCACCAGCAAGAAAAGTAAAGAGAGAAAAAAAAACCACCCCAAAACCCGAAATGGAAAAGAAGGAAATGCAAGCTGATGTGTTGCAGCATTGTAGGGCCACTAAATAGCCATCTGTGAACTCGTGGCGATTTAAAAGGCGAAGGGAAGGCACGAAAAGCTGCAAACGGCATCCTGCGTCACATGGCCTGAAGAGAATGCAAGATTCAAGTAAGATTGATCTCCTACACACCGCGCAGGCGCAGGCCGAAGAAGGCCCTCGAGGGGCCCGCCGCCGCCGCACCGGCTGCAGCCCGCCTGCGCAGCAGCCGGCCGGGGACCCGCAAACTCAGTTGGGTTTGCTGGGATGGATGGCGGATCGGGAAGGGAACAACTGGGAATGGGGCCAGGCGGCTTTCTTGGCTTGTAAAACACACCCGACGGGCTGGGTTTCTTTAAGGGCGGGGCGGGCTGGTTTAGTTCTCAACCCCCTTCTGTACCGCCCTTGCCTGGAAGGGACTGTCCGCTCATCTCAAGGAGCTCCCCTCCCCCGTCGCTCTCTGCCTTTAGGATCGGGGTGCCAACCTGGGCAAAAACCAAGGAGGCCCTGGATTCAAGATGTAGAAAGCTTCTTTTGAAGGGGAGGGAGGAGCATGCATTTTAACAGAGCTCCCTGCGGTTTCATCGTTTACACTAACTAGAAGTAAGGCTGTCACTATACAGGTGAAGCGGGAAAGGGGGCGGGGGAGGGTCTTTGGCGTTTGCTTGTGGTACTGTAAACCGCCCGGAGAGTGCTTGTAGCGCTATGGGGCGGTATATAAGTCCAATAAATAATAATAATAATAAAATAACTAGCGCCACTGAGCTGCTTTTAAGGATAGCCATTTGCTATATAAAATGCAGCGATCTCGAAGGGGGAGGACCAAGCCGAGGAAATCCCTTCACCTAGGAATGGTGCTCGGGACCACGCCGCGCACAGATTGGGAGGGGAGCCTCCCACGGGTGTCAGCAGCCAGGGCACCAGAAGGCGCTTAAAACCCCCTCCGTGCTAAATTTGCCATTTTGCACAAGTAAAAACGACAGTCCAGTCAACAATCTATAAGTATTATTAAAAAATGGAGGGGGACTATTTTTGCTGACGCCCTGGGGACTCCTCATTTTCAAAATTGTAGGCTCCTATTCCCTGAACGCTGCTACTGAGAAGGAAAATCCCACCGTCGAAGCCCTTTTCTTCCCTCCCCCCTTTCAAGTTAGTGAAAGAAGGGGTGAGAGTTTGAATCGATTCCTGTTCCAAATGTACAGCTTAAATCACGGGACATAAGGAACTGGGCGGCACTGACGCCAGATTTTTATTGTATCGGGTCCGAACTTCGCCCCAGTTAATCCGAAACACTCTTATTGAAGCGGATTGACAATCTGATCCTTTAAAAAAAAACCACATTATGTCTGAGAGGAAGTCCCAGGGAACATCCAGTTGGAAAGTTTGTTTTTTTTGGGGGGGGGGGAATTTATTTAAAATAAGTAGGACGTTCTCCCGGGTAAATTGTGCTGAAGTTCGTGTCCTTATCTGAAAAGCCACCCCCCTCACCCCGATTCCGACGGGAATAGAGTTTGGGTTTATTTTGGGGCTGGGAGGGCCCTTCGGTTTATTCATGCCTGTGATTGGCGTTGTGCGCATGCGCGTCACAGGTACTTGTGAATGAACAGACATGGGGGAGGGAGGCGGGAGAGGGACTTACTTCCTAATCAGTTTGGAACTGCAAAGCCCTTCAGCTCCTGGTTTTTAGCAAAACTTCCTCGACTTAAAATCGAAACGGTTCGCCTCAACAACAAACTTGGCCGAAGGAGATTTCTCCCACTCTGCCCTCCACTCGTACCCCAAGCTTCCATTCAACCCTGGTCTCACACACACTTCAAAATTACCCGTCCGTACATAAAGATGGTTGATCAGATGCTTATAGAAACTCAAGAGCAAATGGACACTACACATTCTAGCATGACAAAAGTTGATTGTATGAAATAAATTTTACTAAGCGGTTAAAGCCATGATGTAGAAAAATACATTTTATACCTCCAAACTCAATAAATCAACAAAGAACCAAAAAAAAGGAGAGAACCTTTTCGTAATACTGCATAATTATTTAGTGGTGTGTATATAGATATATAGATATAGTCGTTACAACAGGGGGGAAAGGGCCTGAAAGGGTCTTACAATTCGAGCTTGCATAACAAAAACAAAAGTGCCTGAGGCGTTCACAATATAACTGTTGGTTGTTGCTTCCAAAGGAAAACAAACTAAGGTGGCCTGGATGGAAAACACAACATTACGAGAGAGAGAGAGAGAGAGAGGTCGGGGTGGGGGGGGAGAGATCGAAGAAATCTACTGGGAACCACAAAGGCGCGTGAGAGATCGTGACTCCCGCGGGCGTGGGTGGGCTGGGGCTGGGGTTGGCCGGGGGCTGGGGTGATCGTCCACACTCGCCCACACCAGGAGATGCCGGGAGGGGGCGGGGGCGGGAGGACAGCACTGGAGAGCTACGCCTGATCCTTTGCCTCAAGAGCCAACCGCTCTTTGGCCAGGGGCGGGGGGGGGGAGTCTCTGGGGAATCTACCCATCCAGCCAAAGAGAGAGAAATAAAGCAACCCGGTCCCGAGGTTGGAAAATGGAACCAGCCGCGGCCAGGTTGCACGGGCACCGTTTCCAAGGCGCGTCTGGACGGATCCCTTTTCGGCTTAGCTTCTGCCAACAGAAAGCCGGTTAGGGAGGAGGGGACGGTAGTCCCGTCCGCCTCCCTCTTGAACCAGTGTTGTATTGGCAAAATCTAGCTCTTCCATCGTTGGTTTTGTGGGAAGCATCCTCTTGAACTTCTCAAGCCTCCCCTCATTCCCCTGCATGGATAGATGCGCCCTGACTTTGGGAAGGCGAAGGAGGGGAATGAGCCCTTAAGGACTCATAGACCCTTAAGGACGGTGGTCCAAAAGGGAAGAGTGAGAGAGAAGGAATAGAGACTTCTCTATTTCTTCCTAAACCTCTAAACCTGAATTCCGAACTTGATCATGGATCTAACCTTTTAGTTCTATGCTGTCTGTCTCTTCCCTCCCACCCACCACCCACCCCGCCTAGTTCTTCCTACTTCCTCTGTGCACTTTGATTCCGGGCTAGGGAAACTGCTGTTTCAAAATGTTACTTTTGTCAAGGATATCCCATCCTCCCGTTTTAGCTGAAGGAGAGGAGCCAGCCAGCCCTGGTCCTTCTCTTCTGGCAATCCCCGACGCGGATCAGAATGTCCGCTCCTTCATCCCCCGTAGCATCAAACGGGCTTGTTGGGTGGGAGAGGCGTCGAGCCGTTTTTGCTGCACCGATTGGGACCAGGAGGAAAGGAGGCTCTTTTTTTGTTTTGTTTGTGTTTTTTTGTTTGCTTTTTGTTTGTTTGTTTGTTTTCCAAAGGTGGAGCAGACTTCCTTCTTCCCCTTAGTTCCAATCAGCAGCAGGCACAGAGGCATAGAAAAGGGCCATCAAAGAAAGCAGGCAGGCAGACGCCCTCTCTAGCAGAGAGGGTTGGGTGGGTGGTTAGGTTGGAGGGAAGGCGGGGCGGAAAGGAGGGGGCGTGGTCAAAGGAGCCTGAGAGGAGACTCACCGGGGCAAGGAACTGCGTCAGTAATTCTCCCAACTCTATAGCCTCAGAATCCCCCTGTAGCAGGGCATCTTTTGTCTATGTACAGTAGCAAATGGAGAATAATAATTTCTTCAACCCTGTCATGGATAAAAATACTCTCCTTTTAATTTCCGTTACAAAAATAGGAGCAATATTCAAAACAATGATTGTCACTCTCTTATATATTTTTCCCCTTCTATTTTATATAAAAACATAAAACAGCTCAGGCGAATGTCCTTGGTCTCTTTGTGCAATGCTAACCACTGAAGGAGAATTGGTCCTCTCTGTTCCCTGCTCGGTCGAGATAGTTCTATCATTTATAAATTCTAATTGAAATAATTATACATTTTAAAGATTGGTCCTCAAAGTAGATCTGTGCGTTTCTCTAGTGCTTATTCTTAAATTTGTTTGGGGTTAAATTTTTTTTTCGTACAAAAGAAAAACGATATTATTATCAAAATATTCATTTAATGGCTTTACTTCATACATAAATACATGTTTAGGTAACACAGGAGCGGTGACTGATCAGTCAGTTTGGAAATGACTTTTTAGGAAGGGGGTGGGTCCTCTCTCGGAATTTTTTTAAATTTTTTTTTCCCCAGGGTGCTTGTATACACAGGAGCGGTTGGGAACTCATCGCTACAAATAGGCTACTCGGCGTCCTTTGTTTTTAACCCTTTGTTTATACCTTTTCCCTAGGACAGCTGCCAAATATTTCTTGACAGCCATTTGTTTTCGGTAGCGACTGTAGCTGTCTGTGAAGATGCCGTCCGAGTGCCGTTTGGAAAGCGGTTCCGAGTCGTCCTCCAGGCCGCTCCCCCCGCTGGAAAAGAGAAGGGAGGGAGGGAAGGAGAGAGGGACAGAGAGAATGAGGACGCATCAAAACATAGTTCTTGATTGCCACGTCGGAAGCCTCGAGCAAGGCGGGAGCCGCAGGAATTTAACCCTCTTGGTAATTTTATTACCAAGGCCCACCCAAGACACTTTGCTGCCTGAAGAAGGGTAGAAAAAAGGCAGCCTTTCAGCCCCAGCGCCCCAAGTTATATTCTCAAATGTCTTAGGGGGAAAAAAAATCCCACCAGTCTTTCCCTTTATCTTTGACAGTAACAAGATGTCCTCGGGAGTTTTTCCGATCGAGGGCGATGGGTCAAAGTTGTACAACTACACATTAACACGACATATAAATCGCGGGTCGGATATATACCACGATGACTTTAAGTATATTAAAATAAATAAATTTAGAATCGGGGGCTCCTGCCCAGGAAAAACAGTAAATATACATCTCTAATTGAAGAACTAGCCGTTTCCTGCCTTTACGCTGCCGGCCACGATTGGGCCTGCCCTACTTATTAGGTAATTACGCGTCTTTATCCTCTTGCTTAGGTGACGCTGCCCCGCTCTTCTTGACCTACGATTTGGCTGCTCTCGGGTTGTTCCGCTTGCTCTCGTCCGGTGGGGGCTGGGGTCCCCTTTCTCAAGTACCCGGACCTGCTCTGGGGTCCATCCGCCCACCCCCTCCCGGTTAATCTCCTAAGAACCCGAAGCGTTTCTCGGTGGTCGCTTCCAACGGGGGGGGAAGGGGGGCGTTCGGCTGTTGCAGCAAAAGCCCCCAGGCGTCCGGCGGCCCCGGCGAAGGCCTGGCTGGCCCTCAGCTTTCGTGGGCCCTTCCTAGGAGGAAGTGGGCTGCCCGCTCCGGCCTGGCCGGTCCTATTGTTCTCTTGTCCCAGAGTTCTCCATAACTACGTATCCGTCTCAGGTGTTGGAGGACGGGTCTTCTTAGCCTGGCGGCCCTTTGTTCCGGGGCACGCGCGCGCGCGCGCGTGTTGGCCACTGCACAGTGAAAGCAACATGTACCCAGGAGAGGGAGAGGGCAGCGAAATACAAGCCCGGCCCCTCCCTGTAGGGACACAACGGCTGCCTCGAAACAGGCTGCGGAAGTTGACGTCTGATCATAATACAAGCCGACAGTCGGGAGACAATCCCTTCCCGATATGAATTATTCATCACGAAATTGTGTAATCCATTTCCCCGTGGGCTTTATTAAAATGTTGCCTCCTGCTCTCGCTCTCAGACACACACACACACACACACACACACACACACCCCGTACACGGGACTATCTGGAGAGGGTTGGTTTTAAACGAGACCGAGGGACCGAGTGTGTGTGTGTGTGTGTGTGTGTGTGTTGGTTGTTATTCCTCTCCCTGCTGCAGAAAAATTGGCCGATCCGATCTGGGTCCGGATCTCGGAAAGCGCTGCCCTTTCCCTCTCAAAGAAAAGCCTTTAATCATCCCCAGCACGGTGAGCGCGCGGGGGAAGATGGGGAGCAAAATCTGTAGAGGAGCAGAAGGGTGAACTGACGCGGCCTTTATCAGCTGAGCTCGTGAGGGCACCTTTTCAGACCGTCAGATTGAACAGGGTGCGGGAGACGGAGGGAGAGGGCTTGGAGGCCCGGCGCCTGGTCCTGAACTCCTCGTGTAAACGGTAAGAGCAACAGCGTTTGCCCTCAGCGCGATTCCGTTCTGACGCGGAGGTCTGAAGATGTCCTATCGTGAATTAAAGAAACCTCCTTCTTTTGGACTTCTTCATCCCTATTAGCTTGAATAAGTCTCCTTCGGAGTAAACGAATTTTGCATCACTGTGGTACCCCACTGGTTTGAACACCAGCCCCAGTTTAAGGGAAAGATTTGCTTTCAGAGAAAGAGGCTCGAGACTCTTGCCTCTAAAGAGCTTTGCATTCCGATTCTGATCCTATATTTCGAGAAGCAAACACTACGAAGAATTTCGGGCCACCGAACCGGTCTATCAGGCCCCGGGCCCGTGCTTTTGCTACAGTAAATTAACACAGGTTTCCAACTTGCGGGGCCTTTACAGACATCTACGCAACCGTATTCAGGATCGGAGCCCCGGGGCGTAAATTTGCAAGCACATAGGAGTAAATGGCGAAACAATAATTGGGATGAATCAATGCCGATCGCCCAAGAAATAGAGGTTCGATCCACAAGCCGATTAGGCTGAAGGAAGACAGGAGGCCGCTTGGGCTCCGACGCTCAATGGAGGCGAAACAAGATTTCGTCTCGCATCCGAGGCCTTGGAACGGCGGTATTTTAATTCAAGGACAATTTAATTCAGACTGTATAAATGGTCTGTGGATTGGGCTGTGAACCAAATTGACTCAAGAGAAATAATGCATACATACATTAGCATCTAACATAACGTATCATTTCATAATTAAATGACAGACTTGCTAAACACCCCTGTTGCACATAATTAAATATTTTTCCCTGCCCTTAAATCTATTTTGCTCCTCTTCGGATGGTCCGTTAAGTCTTTCTTTCTTTAACCATTCCCCCCCACCCGTAAACAAACAACTGGGCAAATAAATACCTCCCGGAAGCTATAAAGAACGTCTTACCCCACCCGCTTGGCCATCAGAGAATGCAGGTACTTCCTCGCCGAGAGCTGGCCCAGCACTTTCCTGTAGGCTTTATTGAATAGCCCATCCGCGTGCCTAGAGGGGGAAACGGGGGGGGGGGGGAGGGGGGGGGAGAGGGACAACAAAGAAAACCAAATTAAAAAAAAAAACAACAACAGCGAACTAGACTCCGGGTGACTCAGGCAAGGAGACTCCCCTCTGCCGGTTCGATCCAACGCTGCCTTGCATGTGGGGAAAGCCTTAAAGGAAAGCGAGGGAAGAAATATAGGGGAGAGGGGAAGGAAGGGGAGGGGGCTAGCCTCTGCCAGTGCGGCTGCTTGCGGCCCCCAGAGAGATGGGGCCGCGCCCGTCTTGACAGCAGCGCCCACCCGCCGCCGCCCAACTCCCCACCGCTTTTCCTGGGCTTACAGCTTACAGCCAAGATCGGGTCCATTTCAAGGACGCGATGCTGCCAGGCGCGGCTTCCGATTCCACCCCCCACCCCCGGTTCCTTTGCCTTCTCG